ACTAGGGGTTAGGGGCTGGGGGGACCTCAAGGGGGGGAAAAAAGGAGACATATGTAATACTCTTTGTAATACTTCAAGAAATAAAAATTATTAAAAAAAAATAGAGGTAAAGCAGCATCCAACAGACTGTCAAACCTCAGCGGGAAGGTAGAGGAGGGTTGGCGGGGCCGGTAAGAGATCAACCAAAGGACTTGTATGCATGCATATAAGCACAACCAACAGACATGCAGACACTGGGGGAGAGGGGGTTTGAGGGCAAGTGCCGGGGGGTAGGGGTGGCTGGGGGAGGTCAATGGGGAAAACAAAGGGGGAGACATATGTACTACTATTTATAATACCTTAAACAACAAAATAAATTTTTTTAAAAAAATTTTCCTATAAAAAAAATTCATCCCAATCTAATTTGTATCAAAGCTTTTAAGAAATGCTAGAGAAAAAAAAGACAATTTATTTAACAGTAATCTTTAATCATGACAAATATTCTGTGGAATGATGGAAAGTATAAAAAATGGTGAAATATTTAATAGTTCCCATTGTTTTGGTATCATTTCTAAATCTCAGGTCACCAACAGGGCAAGTTTACAACTTTGTCTAATTAAAAACTAGCCTCAAAACCCAAATAGTATATCTGGATTACTCAAATCAAGCATGTTCCTGCATATCTCCAATAAAAACCACAGAACACTTGGTTCTAATTAGAAGCCAAAACAAACATGCACAGACCCCAAAATCTAACAAAAAGAATGATAGTGAAGGGGGTAGTGAAAGAGGGAGGAGAGAAAGATACCTATGACTCATAATGAGAGTCAATGTCATGTTCTCAGGCTTGCTCCTGGGTCTGTGCAACTCAACACAGCCACATTCCTACATGCCTGGGATGGTCAACCAGGCAAGCTAACATGAAAAGGAGCGTCAAACTCCAGCTTGTGGTGGTGTGGAAAGGGCATGGAGGCTCAAGTTCTGGTTTTACTGGTTGATTACCTTGGACTAGTTACCTTCTCTTTCGGAACCTAAGTCATATCATTTATAAAAATGATATGAGGGCTAACAATAATTCCTTTTGCCATATTTGCTTTCTCTTTTTCTCAACACATACCTAATAGTACACACATTTTTTTTTCTTTTCTTGCCTGCCAAGTCATTTACAAGTAAGTTACATTAAAATGCCACTTCATTTCTAGAACATTTACTTTAATAAAGGGCTTGTTAAAAAATTCCCTCAATCCAATGGTTCCAAATCCCAACTTCTAATACAATGTTTCCTGCACCAGAATCAACAAGAGCTCTGTTCAGCCCTGGCCGGTTTGGCTCAGTGGATAGAGCGTCGGCCTGCAGACTGAAAGGTCCCAGGTTCTATTCCGGCTAAGGGCATGTACCTTGGTTGCGGGCACATCCCCAGTGGGGAGTGTGCAGGAGGCAGCTGATCGATATTTCTCTCTCACTGATGTTTCTAACTCTCTATCCCTCTCCCTTCCTCTCTGTAAAAAATCAATAAAATATATTTTAAAAAAAGGGGGGGGTCTTTTCAGAGAGAGTGGAAGAGAAGGTGGGATGGGAGGAGGGAAGGGGTTGCCCCCATGCATTGAAGGGTCTGGGGTTGATTTCCTGTCAAGGACACATAACTGGGTGGTGGGTTTGCTCCCTACCCCAATCTGGGCATTTGTAGGAGGCAACCTTTAAGTGTCTCCTCTACCTTCAACCCTCCTCTACCTTCCCGCTGAGGTTTGACAGTTTGTGATCCTGATAAAACCTTGGGCAATTATACTCACTCACTTTTCTCTAGTAACTTTCCTCTTCTCCACAGGTGCTGCAGAAGCCATGCATATACTGAATGACCCAGTCAGAACTGACTGGACTAGAAAGATCACCTGACTCAAGATTTCTTGAACCATTCTTTCTCCCAGAAATTTGGAAATGATCAAAAACCTGGATTAATTCTGAGCTGTGGCTGCAATTAACAAAAAATAAAAGTACCTAAAAATTATTGGGAGGTGCCTGAGAAAGCAAAGAAAGCCATTCTGCAAAGAAAAAAACAAAGCCATTGAAATACAGAGATTACTAGTAAATAAAGGAAAAATGATACCTAGTATGCCTACAGGTATGGGTTTCTTTCTGCAGCCTGGCTCCATTTCTGATTTTGGATCCTTGGGATACCTTGGTTTGTTTCCAATCAATTTCCTTTTAAGTTCAAATTGGCTTGATTTAGCTTCTTTTACATAATGCAAAAAGAACTAAAACTCTGTCCTTGTTATTATGCACATGTAAAAATTATAATCAGCTTACTTTTTCATATTTTGTTGCCACTGTTTATATATTAACATTTTAATAGCTATTTCAAATTAGAGAAATCAGCTTTCCTTAAACAAAGCCTGCACAAAAACAGTTTAATCTTTAGTTCACAATTTAGGATTATTATTACGAGGTTCAGTTACTGTGATATGACTGCAGATGTAGCTGGTGCAGAATGTCAAATTAAATGGTTTCTGAACCAAAGAACAGCAAAATCAGCTGTTGAAGAAAGATTATGTGTGGTTATGAGGTGCAAAATTCTAATCTTATCCTATCCTATATCATAAAAGGGTAATATGCAAATCAACCAAACGACAGAACGACCAGTTGCTATGATGCGCACTGATCACCAGGGAGCAGACGCTCAACGCAGGAGCTGCCCTCTGGTGGTCAGTGCACTCCCATAGGGGGAGCACCGCTCAGCCAGAAGCCCTGAGCCGGGCTCATGGCTGGTGAACACAACAGCGGTGGCAGGAGCCTCTCCCACCTCCACAGCAGCGCTAAGGATGTCCAACTACTGGCTTAGGCCCGCTCCCCTATGGAGAGGGAGCGGGCCTAAGCCATCAGTCAGACATCCCCCGAGGGCTCTGGACTGAGAGAGGGCACAGGCTGGGCTGAGGGAACACCCCCCACCCACCCCTCCCACCACCAGTGCACAAATTTCGTGCACCGGGCCTCTAGTGTATTATAACATCTCTGCTACTATACTACACAAGACATGTTCTCTCTAACACAGGTAGCCAAACACTTTCTGTGGAGTAAGACAGTAAATATTTTAGTCTCTGTGGGCCATAAGTTCTGTCACAACTACTGAACTCTACTGTTGTATGTAGTGTGAAAGCAGCCACAGACAATACACAAACGTGTGAATGTGTTAAAAAAATCTTTTATGGACACTCAAATCTGATTTTTTGTAATTTTCATATATCACAAATGCTACTCTTCTTTTAATTTTTCCCCTAATCATTTAAAAATGTAAAACCATTCTTTGCTTATAGGCCTTACAAAAAAAAGCAGAGTTAAATATGGCTCAATGGTCATAGTTTGTCGACTCCTGCTCTAAAAGATATAAAAGAATCGTTATCAAATGGCACATATATTCCACAGGGCAGAGTTCTACACCTCTGCCCTAGGTGGCTAGGACACAATAGGTAGAAGTGTACTCCTTCACAGAGTAGAGCTTTTCTATTTTATTTCCTGTGAGGGCTCTCCTCCTTTACTCTCCTGTTTGTGCTAATCTACATTATTCTCTCCCCTAATCATTATTCATTCTTCTTTCCTCTTTTTCTGGTCACTGCCCCTTACTATTGAATAGAAAAACCAAGTAATCACAGGATATCTGGTATGGTTTATGGGTCTCTGGCTCTTAGCTATTTTTAATTTTGCTTTCTACACAAGGGTTTCTGCTTCTCTGATTAAAAAAATAATAAATTGCCGGAGCTGGTTTGGCTTATGGATGGAGCGTCGGCCTGCGGACTGAAGGGTCCCAGGTTCGATTCCGGTCAAGGGCATGTACCTGGGTTGTGGGCACATCCCCAGTGGGGAATGTGCAGGAGGCGG